CTTCTTCCACATCAAAATTACATTATAAGCCATTTCTAACGAGATTTGCACTCATAGCCCTTGCTTACAACACGGCTGGAAGCCAACAAGTCACCAAGTATCCAGGATCGACAGGCAGGGCCACAGCAAACTTGAAAGAGGGCAAGTCATCCGAAGTAAAGAACACATACATATTTCGCGTGAAATTCAAACCAAGGACTCATAATCGTAAACAGTGTGGTTACTGTCCCTTGGACTTCACGATCTTGGTCGGAATGCAACTATTTCAGGGAGCAAGGTGGACATTGCCTACAACATAAGCATTTCCACATCAGCCATGAAATTCGAGCTAATAAGACTTAGTACCAAACAATGCATTTGCCAGTCCGTTTGTGCAATCCGTTTGTCCGTGAGTTTGGACAAGGGGCAGGGATACTCTGTTAGAAACTCTGCCAACAGAACTTTATTTAAGGAATGCAGCCGTTAGATTGAGTTGGGTATGGGGGGAGGGTCAGGTGCTCATCCCAGAGAAAATGAAAACGGTCATGATTCCTTGCAATTCGAGATCATTCGTTTTGCTTCCAAATAATGTAGTTGTGTGGGTTTATGTACATCACCTGTGTCGCTGGGCAGGAGTACTATTAAACTGTTCGAGGAGGGAGGGGGCGGTAAGGCGCCCCTCTCCGTCGGTCGTCGCGCTGCAACCTGGATCGCAGAGTCCATCGCCCTTCAAAGCGCCGCCAGAGGTGGTTGATCCTGTTTTCTCCGCGAGCACCTAACAGTTCTCCTGCTGCGTTACGATCGCGAGAGTGGTTCGAATCGGCGCGGTGCACAGTCCGGCCAGATCTTTACGCGAAATTACGAGTAATTGGCGGGGAGAATCGGGCGGGAGCGCAGCCGCGTACGGCGAGCGGGAGGTGACGGCGCGGGCGGGGCCCGGACCGGGGACAGGGCCCCGGGCGCCAGACTGTGCCGCGTCGCGCCGGATCGAATAATGGTGGTTGTGGCGGAGGAGGAAGTGTAGCTAGACGGCGACGTTGTTGTGGGCCAGGTTAATTACCGGCTTTTTCCACTTAGCGAGAAAAAGAACTAAAAAAAGTTCTAAATATTTCGTTAAAATGTTGGTAATTATGAAATCACTTTTACATAATTCCTACAAAACATGAATTAGGGTACAATGTTCATAATGTTCTTTATTAAATTATTTAAGATGTTATCAATTTTGAAATACTTTTAGCCAACCAGGGACCTAACCGAGGATAGTTTGGCTCGTTTGGCGCGTCTACTTCTCCCGTATTTCGAAAGATAGTAGTATTCACATTGATTATTTTTGCGCATAGACTGCCTTTGTTTATTCTTCTTTCATAATAAACTATTTTTGACAATAGTTTCTCTCAATGGCTTACAACAGTAGACGAAGTCTTGGAAGAGGTTTCTAGGAGTGATAGAATCCATCTGTGATATCGTTAGAAGGTCCATCCCGACGTGGTGGGAATGTGTGTGTACCATGCGTTATTAGTCAAACGTTAACCAAAATAAAAAAGGAATGTTCATAATTAAAATTATCATTGCTGCGTCACTTCAATTTTTTGTCTTGTGCATGTTATTAATAAAAATCAACGACATAATAATGAACTCTCCTTACAGTAAAAGTGCTATTAATAAGCAATAACTAATGAAATCTTGAATCTGGCGTTGATATCTTGTTTTGTAGTTGCGATAGATAATGTGCGATGATCACACGCGTTTCGCAGGATCTCAACGTTGCTACAGATTTTGATTTTCTCTTGAGTTAAAGTTTTAAAATAATTTAAGCGATATTAAATTTCACACAAATGAAACTTCTTTATTTTTATGTAAACCTTTTAAGTAAACTTACCTTGCATCATTTTACGTCCGGTAATCCCCAGAAGACAATGAAGATTAAGGAAGAACACTAGTGATTCAGTTTGAAACACGCATAAACATAACGCCTGATTACCAGTGATAAGTAACGTATCAGGCGAATTCTCAGCAAAGAGGAACTAGGGGATTGCCAATTTTTGCAATGTTTTCGGCATATTGAAATGTCCATTCAAAGAGAGCAAAATTTGAATCTCTTTTTAAAAAAAATATGTGCGTGAAATTACCAAATCGATTTCAAGTACTACTTAAATGTCGAAGAAACAATTAGAGGCATAAGGTCAGTATAGTTTTGTAGGATAATGTATGAATTCGTTAATAGGTACTTTCAAATCTTCAGAGTATAATTAAAACTCCTACTACATGTTAATGTATGTACTGCAT